GTTACGGCCACAAACAGCCATTTTTAAGTTAGGCGACTTGTTCCATCGAAAAAATAGAGTTTGTAAAACATTGTACTGTACACACAAATACAACAGGACAATAGCACGATGTCTTCGTTTTTGAAGTGGAAATTATATTGTAATAAAGGGATGAATTTTGAACTTTGACTGCTGCTATGTGCGTAAATTCAAGTTCAAATGTGCTTTCAACCACCATATAGGCATTTTTTCCTGGAGTTAGGAATCTAATCTCTAGATAGGGAACACTACAACTTTTATTGGTAAACAGAAGAGATGGGAATCATTACTCACACATCGTCCCCCCCCCCCCCTCCATTTCTGCCCGGATTTCAGCATTTCACAAGGGTAGTCCTTTTGCCCATTGGGGGGAGGGGGCGGGGCCCCCTTGGGTACACCACTGTATATTCTATGTAAGTGTCGGCATGACGTCCGACTAAATGATGAAGATAAGCTGAAGTCTCGTAGTTGCCAATTAATAATGACTGTAAATATTTTATTTTCATTGCATTTTTTGGTGTAAAATCTAAATTGCACCATTTTCTAATGTAAAAAAATACTGCAAAGTGTTCGCGGTTTATATATGATCCAGTGATTTTGAATCCGGATCGTTTCTCAATTTGACTGTGTTAATGCGTGGTCTCGTAAACCTGTAAATAGGAAGTTTTTAATCATGCTAGGTGATGATCGGTTTATATGAGGTAACCCAGGTACTTGATGTCTTCATTGTTTACGCGAAAATATTGTTGTGTTTAGGAAAAGCGAATTTGTTTTGGATTGAATACCGTAATGAACTTCAACCAATCATCGTCAATGTACATGGAACATCCACGTTAATGAGGTAATCAAGAGCCCGTAAACGTCTCTGTTATCTTCAAATTCAATCTCGAGTTTAGGCTAGTTTTGGAGTTCCTCTGCCTGTTTTCTACTCCCGTTTTCTACAATAGTCTTACAGCCTATTTATCAAACGATCTAGAATCAGTGCAAAAGTGAACACTAAAAGTCAGGGGCGTAAGCCAGAGCAGGGGGTGTATTTCTTGACTAAAGCAGCCAAAAGTCTTTGTAATCGGTTCTGTGGGTTATATAACTATGAAACGTTTTCGCGAAGTATGATTTAGGTTGGTTGGAAAATTTGTTCATATAATAAAACTCTGGCCCGGATGCATTTTGGCCAGCCTATCGAAAGGTTGGATACGGGTATATAAGCAATGCCTGAGCTTCTGTGGTCCGAATAGCCACTCATATAAGCGCGGGAAAATTCCTCCCAATCAATTGTAAAGTTCAAATTTCGTGAGTCCTCTTTCCCCCGCTCAGTACAATCAGTGGCGTAGCCAGCTCGATAAGTGGGGGGGGGACATATTCATATATTCGTATTCACAGACCGTAAAAACAATCAATTTTAAATGAAATTAATAATGCAGAACACGACTATATGAATATGCCCCCTCACTTATCGAGCTGGCTACGCCACTGAGTACAATGTACCCCGAAACAATTTTGGTAATTTACGACAACTCTTATTACCGGTTAACAAGTGTACGAAGGGTTCCAACGCCGGTTTGATCTGATCATTTATTTACACCTGTTTATGTAGTTGTTACCCCAACAATCAAGTACGTGTTTGAACAAAACAAATTATACTCTTATACTCCCTATTCATTCCGTGATCACTGTATACTTGGTCTAAGCACGCAATCCACATTCATGATTGAAGAATTACAGGATTATAAGAATTCTATTGTATGAACTTCTTTAATATATGTTGTCTTTATATAAAATATTCTGTGTTTTACTTTTGCCTCTTTATTCAAAGGACACTGATGACAAACAAATCAAAGTCAAAGGACAAAGAGTTTCTGAAATTGTATTTCCTGCCGCGTAATATTGGCTGGGGAAGATTATATATACATGCAAAAACAACCGGTCATTGAGTGTTTTATTGGGTCTGTTCCAACTCGTTCTCATGGCCATGGGTCTTTTCGTTATAGACCAAGTCACTGAAAAGCAGAATATTTTCAGCAATCAGATGCAATTACACAGTTAAGTCGTTTGCCATAAAATAGTCGAATTAATTAAGTTGTTGCATGGGGAAACATTTGAAAAGCGAGCAAATTCAGGAACCGTTATTCAATAAACACTTTTTCCATGTTTGACTCATATGCAAACACAAGAAGCAATAGGTAGAGGATGCTTCAATTAAACAAACGTTTTTGCAATCGCTCAATCATCATCTCGATTTTAAGTGTATCATTGTTAATTAATGGTTGATAAACAATACCTGCAGTTATATGTTTGAGCCAAGCTAACCTGGCGGTCAATCTAACCACTACAGACCAGCCACACCGCCCTCTATCCTCCACCCTGGCATGGTTTCTGATTCCATGCCAAGATCATTTTTTGTTGGCTAAACTTAGTGCTGCATGGCAAGGTCATTTGAGTTGAATAAAATATTGCACTGTCTCTACGGAAACATAATACTAATACACACACTTTAGTCTTTGTTTTCTACTTATACACCGTGCACTTTTGCACATGCAGGGCTGCATGATTCGTGAATACACTATTTATAATTTAGCTGTCAGATTTACTAGCTCATCACTAGATAACGTTTTAGACTAGTTAATCATCACTAGATAACGTTTTAGGCCCGTTTCATACGTCGCACTATCGTCGAATTTAATTCAGACGAATTTAATTGAACCAATTAAATGCGACGTTAGTGCGTCGTATGAAGCGAATTAAATCCGTCTGATGAATTAAATTCGTCCAAGACGTTGTATCCGTCATGGTCAGACGGATACAACGTCTGTAGCGCGTCTTCGTTTCATACGACGTGTTATCGTCGTGTCGAATTAAATGCATAAATTATGTTAAAGTCTGTTTCTCTCTTTCTGGTCTCGTGGTTTTTTACTTCTGGGTAATCCATGATCGCTAGACATGACATGAATTCGTCTGAATTAAATTCGTCGTTTGAAACGAAACCATTTTAGTGTCGACCAATTGACGAATTTAATAACTAATTAGATTCGTCTGAATTAAATTCGACGTATGAAACAGGCCTAAGACTAGTTAAGCTAGATTTCCACTTGCAAGAAAAATTTCGCAGTCAAAATTAAAATTTTCGCTCAATTTCATTTGAATTGTGAGCGGTCAAGTAGCACTGATTTATTCGAATGGCTACATGTACAATTCCAAAGAAATCAAGCGAAATATTTCAACGACGAAATATTTCTCTGTAAGTGGAAATCCACCCTTACTCCTTAAACGTTAGTGATTGATAGAGGGATATATAATTATCAGATTTGCTCAAAGTGAGTAAAAACAATAATCATGCAGAGCTCCTGCAGATCTCAGTGTAAAATCTTTCTCAACTGTAAATTAGGCTAATCAGTTCTAAATTTGTTTGTCGTTTCTGTAATATCCATGAGATAATAATGATGCAGTTTGCCTATCCAACTAGTCGGCTTCGATTTCAGTTCTACATATTGGCGAGTGCCATTCACATTGCCAGCCAGAACATAATAACGATCGTGATGAAGTATAGTTTTATTGCCATTGGCAATGGGAGCCGTTTTGAAGCTGAGTAACGAAAAGGTGAAAACTAGAAGTGCGAAACATCAATCTTGATTGCAAAGTTTTTATTTTACTTTTTGATATATTTTTTATTTCCCATGCCAAGAGTTCAAAGACAAAATTCAATCATATAGGAGGCCCAATAGATAGTTGTAATTGATGGTTAAATTTCTATAAAAATTCATTGTGTTACCGTACTAAAAATATTTTCACTCTGCCGGTGTAGCACTGAACTGTTTTGTAGCCATAGGGCATATAGGTGTTTATTTAAACCATGCGATACTCAATCGCGCGTTGTGAATCAGACTTGCAGTGGCGTAGTGACGTATAAGCATAGAAATATTAGACCAGAATTGTCTATTATTTCTATGCGTATAAGTCAAAGACTTACACGTCACCGCCTATACACCACTGCAAGTCTGCATTCACTAATCGTATCACAACGCAAGATTGAGCCAAGATTGAGCCTCACATGTTTTGAATAAACACCTATATAGCTACAAAAACAGTTGTTAGAATATTTTCACGGATAATTTTAAGCTATTTTAGTCTTTTTTGTGCCCATTACAACTATCTATTGGGCCTCCTATGGTTCAATGTACAAATTATGACCTTTTATGGCTTTGTCAGTATCAACCACAATCATACTTAAATATAAAACATAACTTATAAATTGTTAGGCGGCATGTACAAGCGATCGTCACTTAATTGATATTTAAATTTAAATGTGGTTTGTAATTTTATACGAGCTTTTATGTAATTTCTAAATATGCCTAATACCTCAGATGTTTTAAAAAACCCGTATAAATCCCCAAAGTAGTGGCGAATTAGAGATGCTGTTATAAATTTCCGAAAGTCACCAGCGACTCTTTGTAACTGTTAAGCGGTTCAGATTAAATTAAGACGTTTAAATGTGGGGAATAGGAAGGGACAAAGAAAAATATTCCACAGTAGCAGCGGGCTCAAGCAGTGGGGCAAAACCAAAAGTAAAGGGGTCCACTACTTTCGGGAAAAGCGTTAAATTTTGATGTACTTCTACGCGGAGTCATGAAAAAGTAAAAAACAAAATATAGTGGCAATATTAATTATGTATTTTTTAACTATAAATACTGTAAAATTAATTTCGCTTGACGATTAATAAAATTGTCCCTCACATAAAATAACTTTCTTAGTTTCCCCTCCTATTTTACACGTTTTACTTTAGCTATAGAAGATGTCACCATTATAGCATTGTGGAGGTATAGGGTTTTCTTTCTAGGTCTATATAATTTCCTCCGTGGGCGAGTCTAACCTTGAATTGCATTTAGTGAAAAACTGACCACAAATTGAGGAATGTGATGCTAATTTATGTGGCTAGGTGTTAACATAAAAGGTCAACTCTGCCTCGTGCAGCACTTCAAGCCTCTCAAGTTTGTGGTAACAGAAATACTCTCCAATTTGTTTTCAGTATGACGTGACCTAACAACGCATGATAGCAAAACCATGAAACATTTGCCTTGCCTGTAAGTAGATGATGTCAGAGTACATTTCAGTTATAACAAATATCGGTCCGTGGCATATCCGGACATTCGGGTTAAACTTTATCATTATTTTGAGGGATTTTTGTTGCAAGCGTGCGGTTAATAAATCGGTTGCGCAAATTTGCATTTGCTTACATAACTTGCGCATGCATAATTTATAAGCAACGCTATAATTTATATCGCACACGATTGACAACACTCATCATTTATCACATGTGAGGCAAGATGGCGGACGACCCAACGAGTGACTTTCCTGTACAAGGCATTCTCCCCAAGCGGGAAACCGGCGCGGAAAGGTTTTTAACTATGTTTCCAAACTACGATGGTCGAGACGTTCTCATAGCAATTTTTGATACCGGTGTAGATCCGGGGGCGCCAGGACTAACGGTTTGTAAACTTTCGTTTTGCTTTCTCATTTGAATCAGGTGCTAATATTGCTGCATAATGTTGGGCAGTATCTGCCAATATATTAAAAAATATCAGAAAATGACTGCAATTCAGGCTTTTAAACATACAGTTCTTGCTATTTACATGCTGGGAACGGGAAAATATATTTGTATATAAAGGTTTATATATTAAATGTTTCAGACTGTCGTGATACCGTTACACCTCCAACAGGTGTCAGATGCTAATTATTTATTCATTGCATTTACCCTCCATAAAAATCACGCGCAATATATTGCATGTTTCAGGAATGTTTCTTTTTCCAGCCTCAGGTAAACCTTGTTAATTGTGTTCATAGTTTGTATAAATTTGGACTTTGAAAGTTAATTTAAAGACATGTTACAGTTACTAACTTGTTAACAGACAACCATTGGACCTGCCTGAAATTGCAGGTACTAGCTAGCTTTATTAAAAGTGCTTCAGACTTAATAGGTGTGAAAAAATTTTGCTATAATTTAATTTGTTTACTTGGATACTATATATTTTATGACCATATGTTTCCATTAATCCTAGGCAAACTAAGAAGGATTGTTCTCTGACACACCCTTGGAAAGTTTGATGTGAAAACAACTTTTGCTTACCAGCAATCAAAATCATTCTATAATCCTAACAATTTCAGAAACATACTTAGTTTCCTAAGTGTGATGTGATTTTAGTTGTCGAAACAATGTTTCGAATCCTGGTCTGTTCTCCTTTATGATACATGTTCTGAAAACAATGTTTCTCCAACAGGGGAATTACAGTACTAGAAATACATGTATGCAACAACCCCTCGCCTATTTTTTCCAAACATTTATTTAACACGAAGTATTTGTAATTGGCCAACAATGAACGCAGGCTTGTGTTGTGGCGTCATGTGTTGCCATGACAACACAATATTTTTAAATACTTTTTGTACAAAACGGCAAAATAGTTGAAAGATTAGTACTTTTAACTATACAACAATTAATTTCCCAAAAATAAACTGTAGGTATGTCATTTTGTAAATGCTTCGTAAAATGTTTTGAAATGTTCATTCAAGTTTTTATAAAAAAACTACTTTTGCTGATAAACTGTTTCTACTTATTTAATAAATTCTTGAGTAATTTCAGTTCGGTCTTCATGGGAATTACTGTAATTTGCTCTCCTTTACATTTTAAGTTTTTCCTTAAATTAAACAGGTAATTTAGAAAATTTACATTACTATATTTTACAATTTTCCATAGTAAATCAATTATTTTCATTTCTTCAAACAAAAATTGCTTCAAAGTTCATTGTATGAAACGTTTTTCCAAATATATGGTTTTGAAAATTGAAATTGTGCTTATCCCACTCCTGGCAAACAGCCATATTTTTTAGTTCAGTGAGTACCCTCACCCTGGGCTCAGGCCTGGAACGGCGCTCCTTGCCATTGGTTCAGGGACAAGGCTTATTTCTGTAACTGGGTCATCCCAGAAAATATCCATACCTCCATGATCAGAGGATGATTTCTTTCCCCCCACTCTGTAGGCCAGGGGGAGTATGGATCCTTTCTCATGGAATGGCCCATTGAGATTTTGGGTTATTTTCTGCATCTTGTTTCCCAAGTATGATTTTTGTTGCAGAAACAATGTTTTTGCTTTGCCCTGGGTCCTTGGGATACCTTGTCTGGAAACAATGTTTCCTTATCAATGTTCCAGGGTGCATTCCATTTGTAACTCTATGCCAGAACTATGCCAACATTTGCCCTTGATACACAATGTTTCAAAAAGGTTTAAATGTCAAAATAGACAATCCTGTTATTCCTGTGTGCTTTTAAGACAGACTGTAAAATTTTGTAACCTTACCAGAGATCTACACGGAATGCACCAATGTTTCCTGTTTTTATTTTTGCAAAATTGAAGTCTTAAAGTTGCAGTTTTGTTAAATTTGACAATTAGTAAAACAGACCTTGCAAAAAAACTTATTCATAGAAAGATTTACAAACAATATAGTTTCAGCAATTAATTTCTTTGATAAATGTAGCAAACACTTAATTAAACTATTAGAATGCAACAAAATGCAAAATTCTTTTTACCATTGAAAATATCAATTCTGTGTGAAAATAACTATCAGGATTTTGGGCATCTCACTTGGTAGAAGCTGAGCGGAATTAGTACCCTTGCCCCCGGAGGTAGGAACTGTGATCATGCCGAGACTTTAATAACATTGATATAACAATATATAGCAAACGTTACGATATAGCAAACGTTAATGTAAATGTTTCAATTAGTTAGCCAATCAGAACGAGGCTAGCTACAGTATGTGATTGGCTGATACTGTAAGACTAAAACCTGTTAAATATAGTAAAGTGTGCATTCAAAAAATACATGAGTAATTTGCATATTTCATTTAATTTGCACCTTTTCAATTTATGCTAGAGTTGCCCATTTAATCGATTAATTTTTCGTTTTTTTCCTCACAAATATTATACTGGATCGTCTACATATAACAATCATGCAGAGCATGATGCCAGAATGCGACAATGATTATCTTTCTGGAATTACTGCCATTTGCAATCAAACACCCTGAGCACCGTTTTGTCTCAAGCGTTTATTATCTAATTCTAAATTTAGATCTTTACCGGGGTTCCAAACTCATGCACGTGACAAAATGCTTGTGTTTGTTTGATTGGTCTATTTGCTCATTAATTATTAATGAGTTTGAGAAATATATGCACTTGAAAAACGTCTAAATCATAGACATAGCATAGGCAGCACAGCGGCTAAGCGTGTTGAATATTTGACTAAAATATTCACATTTTTAATAAAAACTATGCCTGCCTTGTTAACTATGGCGAAAAATATTATTGAAAATAGTCCGAATAACAATGCAATTCTGTAGTTTGGTTGTCTGCTACGAGCGACGTAGTACTAGTACTTCATATGAGAATACCCGGAATACTCAATCTCGTTGGCTGTCATGCATTGACCGACATTTTTTTTAACTAAACCTTGTCATTGTCTTGTCAGACAGTTGTCTACTTCTGTGAATTCTGCGTGCGCGAGGAAATCATGCACAATCTATAACCTTGCGACAACAAGAAAGGCACGTGTTAAATTATATTAGTTAATCAATATGTGATTAATCAACATTAATCGATTGCTTTATTTATACTGCATAGCTCAATTATTTCTAAACTGTTCGCCCTTAAGGTCCAGCAAGGATCATCTCTAATTCGTCCAGTGTTACTATAAAATTCTGAACGATTCAAATTTGAAAGAGTTATTGATGAGGAGGGATTTTCTACAAACTAATTATGACTCCAGAAATTCTCACACTGATCTGCTGGCCCTTCCTAAGACGCGAATTTCTTAAAAAAAGCTTTAAGTACAGTGGTGCTAAACTTTGGAATAATCTTCCGCGCGAAGCTATCAAAGGAAGCGCAGTCAATTTACTCTTTCAAAAACTTTGTAAACCAATTTAATTGTTAGATAGAAACAACTATAGATCTATAATATACCGGACCGGGTCACATCAATTTAATTTCCTTTATATAAATATTTTTCTCGCTTTGTAAATATCTTTTTCTTGTGCTAGTGACGTACGCCCCTTGTGGAAATCAACTATTGCTGTTGACAAGGCCAGCGTCATTAAATAAAGTTTTACATACATACATACATAGCTTACATACATACATACATAGCCTACATACATACATAGCCTACATAGAGTACAGGAGGAAGCCACTGTACCCGGAGAACTAAACACATGCGGCGTTTGAAAGCGCACATTTTACATGCGACTGAGACAAAATTTGATCATGCAGATAACTGCAGCAATCGAATCATGGTCACAAAGTGAAAGCAAGAAATGCCGGTTATACCCATGATTGCCATAATAGACGTCTCCAAAACAGAATAAGTTATTTTCTTCATGTCTGTGCAGACTTCACAAAACTGACTATGTGAGTCACGCAGTCATGCAGCCTTACTGGCAACTATTAGCGCACTATTGAATTATTATATTATATGTAGGAAACCTCCGATGGAAAACGTAAAGTTGTTGATCTTATTGACTGTACTGGTAGTGGAGATATTGACACTTCCACAGTTGTACAATCTCAAGATGGTTATATCACTGGACTCACAGGAAGAAAATTAAAGGTATTTCCATTATATTTTGATAAGTACAGAATAGATGCAAAATATACCCACTGCATTATATATATAAGGCCCGTTTTATACGTCGAATTTTGGTCGCGTCGAATGCAATTAAGATAATAGATAATGAGATGATAAACCTCATGCATTAAGCTTCATTATCTATTGTTTGAATTGCATTCGACGCGACCGAAATTCGACGCATAAAATATATGAGGGTATGGAATAAGATTATCAAGGTAACAGAATTGATTGTTTTCAAAATCCATCTTATGAATTTTTCTGAAAATTTAATATGCTGTTGAGCTTGTTTTATGTTGGATCAAATTACAAATTTGAAAAAGATTCACCTAAACAAACCCCTAAAATTTTCATTTCTCGTGCGGTCGGCGTTGACGTGACGAAATATCGATTCAACATGATCAATAATTGTGCACGAGACGCACGCGTGCTTATTAGACTCGCACGTCGCTGACGTTGAGATCTGGTTACCAGTCTTCTTATAAAATAAGTGTAAGGAGCCACCCTAAAGAACTTATAGTATAGAGAGAACGGGAAGCTAGAAATACCCTCTAGCTTCCCGTTCTCTCGTGCCCGCGAATACCGCCTGCTACGCAGGCTACCAATGAATAGACGAGGAAGATTTCCTTGAAAAGTACCTGCTCGTGTGTACGATGAACAAGTTTTCGTCGATCAATTTTTCCTTGACAAGTTTTACGAGCCCGCGCTATTTAAGTACGTAAACAATTTCATGATAAATTTTATTCAAAGCGGCTTCCAACAAACTTGAAGACAATTAGACAACAGCTGAAACTGTCTACCATGCATACTGCACTTCAAAAGCGAATTTTAAAATAAACGAGATTTAATGCATGGCCGGTCGAAGGTAAGTAGTCCAGAGTCCTTGACGACCACACACACGAAAAAAATTCTTGTTGGAAAGGTGGCATGACCAGTTTTTGAACGAAGCTCCTTGTGAAGGGAAAACATTTAATGAGGGTGGTGATGGGGTATATTGTGAGTCGTGATTCACTCAATTTCGGTTACCGTCAGTCGTGAAAACACTAAAAATTTAGCGTGAATCATGAGGAAAAAAGTAGTGTTTATCGTTTCAGAATACTTTTCAAGATTTACCGTTAAAATACCAAGATGTTACGCTATTGTTACCGTTAATGAAGTTGAATATGTTGGAAAAGAGACAGATAGTTAAAATCGAACAACTGGCAACTAAGCAAGACAACAATAACTTGGAACACATTTTTGTGGCATATATTTTGGGCAGAGAAGTGCTCGAAAACAGTTCCGGCCGAACTGTCTAGAGGCTCTCGCTAACCTAAGTTTTATCTAGAGAAACAGGCGAATCTCTAGACTGCAGAGGGCATGCTTGACTCTGTGCATGTCGTTCAGCGAGTTGAGACCTAGTTGGACTGGTGAACAACTATTGGTATAGGGCACATTACCCAGGGTACTCAAAGCTGGCTGAGGATACACGCAAAAACTGTAGGTTGTTCTAGAGGAACAGGCGGACCTCTAGATAACAGGGGAACAGGCGAACCCCGTTCAGATCCGTCAGGCCGTCGACATTGAGACCTAGTTGGACTGGTGAACAACTATTGGTATAGGGCACATTACCCCGGGCCGCAACTGATAACCTGACTGACCACATCGAGTCTCTAGGACTGCTCATTCAGGTCTTCAGTGCGACCTGAATGAGCAGTGATTGCGCTTCACGTGGTGAAGTGTTGTTCATCGGACAGCACTTCCCTGCCAATAATTAAATATTAATTGCATTTTTTTTTTTTTACACAAGTGGGTTACAAATCTATGAGTAACATGTCTAACTATATACAGGAATGTCCATTTTTACTAGTTAACAGTCCTTACAACACGCCATTGTAGAGACGCAGATTGGTGTACATGATTATTGGGAGGTGGGTGGGTTTTTTTCTCCAAATTTTCACTTCTTTGCCAAGGTTTTTATCCCTTTAATTATAAACTAAAAATTTTGCCAGAGATGTTAACGCACTGGCTAAAGTCTTGAGAATGAACAAAGCACGTCGAAACTGCGATCAAAAGTCCTTGCGCAAAAAGGGGGGCATTGTATGTATGCACGTGAAGGAAAACCTTCAAGATAACTTCTGATTGGTTAATCTCAAGTTTGCATCAGTTGTTCACATGCTTAGTAGCCAAAGTTCGATTTTTATCTGATATTTTGTAATATTAACAGGACTAGAAAACGGTTCCCTTGTTCTGCCAAGGTACTTGGACCTTGTACGCGTACCTTGCACGGATTGATTTTGTGGCGCAGATGTGTTGGCAGACAGAAAACACCCTCGGGCAAATGGAGTCTTCTAGAACATATTACTCCATTAACCGCAATTTATAGCTTTGCTTAAATTGATTATTTAAAATACAAAAATTTTTACTGTTTACTGATTTTCAGACCCCCCATCTAGACCCTCTTTAATTTTTTGCCGTACATACGAACAACTAAAAGTTATCAGGGAAAACCTGTGAAGGAAAACTTGCTCGTTTGTATGGGATATAATGCACTGCAGTCCATGAAATGATTTTCGCCACATGGCATGTCCCAAAAATATATATTCCATATTCCAAGTTTGAGCATTATATATACACTTTTTTAGGTTCCTGCAGACTGGACAAATTCATCAAATGATTATCACATTGGAATAAAAAGTGCTTTTAGTCTTTTTCCAAAATTGCTAAAAGAAAGAATAAAGGTTTGATTTGTTTCCATTCCACTCTTTAACGTATAGGCTATAGTCGGCAACATCTTCACTGTAAAAGCATTATTAGTTTACATCGTCAATATTTCATTGATGTGTAAAAGCATTATTACATCGTCAATATTTCATTGATGTGTAGAAACATTACATCGTCAATATTTCGTTGATGTGCATGTAAAACCATTATTACATCGTCGATATTTCATTGATGTGTAAAACCATTATTACATCGTCAATATTTCATTGATGTGTAAAAGCATTATTACATCGTCAATATTTCATTGATGTGTAGAAACATTACATCGTCAATATTTCGTTGATGTGTAGAAACATTATTACATCGTCGATATTTCGTTAATGTGTAGAAACATTATTACATCGTCAATATTTCGTTGATGTGTAGAAACATTATTACATCGTCGATATTTCGTTGATGTGTAGAAACATTATTACATCGTCAATATTTCGTTAATGTGTAGAAACAAGAGAAAGAAGAGCAATGGGATCCAGATCATCGCAAGCTAACTGCCAAAGTTGTGAAGAAAGTTCCTACTGACGTTCCACAAACTCATGAAGAGAAGGTGCTGCTTTCATTTTGCAAAAAGTCTAATTTTTTTGTACAATTTTCGTAGTGCATGAATAATTTATAATTGTATAATCAGTCATGCAGCCATCCTCGTACCCAGGGTCTTTGGCCGTGTCACCGA